CCCACTTTCCTTTATTTCCTTATGTGGTAAAGTATAAGTTATATGTTCTACTGGTGTTCAACAAGGAAAACTCTTGTTCAGGGTAATGTGCGACTAACTTTTAAGTCCGCCTATTTTAAAATGACAGAAAATCTAGTTTTTTCATTAACTTTCGACTCATCTGTTTCCGGGCCCGCTCAGCAAATCCCCACTTTCAGAGGACTGCCCTCTAAGGAACTACAGACAGGGTTTCCATCTGTATTTCCATTTTCTGAATAAGTAACGAGGGGAACTAGACTCTCAGGGCCTCCTCTGCCTGCTTCGTCCTTGCGGAGCTGATGTGGGGAGAACAGTCCTCACTGTCCGGTCTAGTGATGACCACACTTCTGTAGCCACGTGGACCTGTGTACTCCAGGTCAGTTAATTCCAGAAAATCATCCAGTCTCATGTTTGCTCAGATTCCCTCATTTCTACTCTGTGAAATACAAGGAATAGTACAGATCTTCAGTTTCCCGGGGGAGTGCTTCATTACTTTTCCTCTTTTGCTTTTTACTTAGTCTAATGACTCAGATTCCAGATGGGTCTGTCTAAGTTTAGGATTACCATGATCTACTTTGTAGAGAGAAAAGAAAATATTCCTTGTACAGTACAACTTATGTAATTTTTTTTTCAGGGAAGTGAGAAAAATATAACAGTGTAGAAGAATTTTTGGCTCTAACATTAGATGTCAATGTTTTGTATTCTGTCATTGGGGTGTGTTGTAATTTACTTATTTACTATCTCATTCCCTCTGTAGCTAGTGAAGTTTACATTTTCAAAGAATGTTTTAATGATATGGAAAAATATTCTCAAAATAGTGACATGCAAGTACAAGGTACAAAACAGTACAGTGTAATTCTAATTTTGTTTTTTTTAAAGGTCAATATACTTTCTTTTCTTTTTTTTTTTCTTGGAAAAGAAATATTCGTAAGAGTTCATTTTATCATCTGGAGAGTGGGCTGAAGTTTTGTAAAATTTAATTTCTTCATTATAGACTGTATTATTTTAATAAAAGCTTTTCTTTGGTGTCACCCATTGTGTGCAGCACTGAGCTGGGGCCCTGGAGCCCTCATTATTGTCCATCTGGCCGCACCACGGTCAGCACTGCATTCAATTAATTGTAACAGAATACTGATGACTCAGCATTTCTGCTGCTGACAGGAAGTCCTTGAGCGAGTCTCTTTGTAGTTCCTCCAAAAAAGGATGCTCAGGGACTCCTTGGGTGAACTGCTGCAGGCCATGGAGAGGACAACCAGGTTGCAGTAGTCAGTTTGCACTGGGCTATCCCAGAGCTAGAACAAGGGAACAGGTTAACCCCTAGAGTCCTGGAGGTCACAGACTTGGGCAGGCTCAGGTGTTAGATGCAGCTCTGCCTTTGGAGCTGGACATCCTGGCTGCCTGCTGGGAACAGGTGAGTATGTATCAGCCATTGTGAAGCCTCGAAAGGCTTTGTTCTGATGTAGCTGCAGATCAGGCTCTATCCAAATTGCATTGTTACTGATGAAATAATTTTTTAAAAAACCAATGGTACCTATATGAGCATTTTCCTCATGGAGACCATTCAACAGAATGCTGTTCTTGGAGAACAAATGACTCATGCCAACGACTAGTTTCTTTTTTTTTTTTTGAGATAGAGTCTTGCTCTGTCACCCAGGCTGGAGGGCAGTGGCACGATCTCGGCTCACTGCAACCTTTGCCTCCTGGGCTCAAGCAATTCTCTTGCCTCAGCCTCCCGCGTAGCTGGGATTACAGGGGTGCACCACCACGCCCGGCTAATTTTTGTAATTTTTTTAGTAGAGACAAGGTTTCACCATGTTGGCCAGGCTGGTCTTGAACTCCTGACCTCAAGTAATCCACCCACCTCGGCCTCCCAAAGTGCTGGGATTACAGGCGTGAGCCACCGTGCCTGGCCAATGACTATTTTCTAGGTTTTTCTCATGGTCAAGCAGCCATGATCTTTTAATAGCTTTGTTTTATTTTAACTCAGTCCCAACGGTTAATTTAAATCCTTTCTTTCATCAGTGATACAAAGAGTGAACTTCACTACGGTCTCATCTTGACAGAGTCAAATGCAGAGGCTCTAACGCTGCCCACTGGAGGAGGAGGAGCTGGAACTTAGGAAAACAGCTCAGACGCTTCATGCAAATGAGGAAGCTCAATTGGCTTCTCTTGAAAATACCTCACAAATCATTTTCTCTTGTTTCTACTTGCCAAAATATTTATAAAATATCTTTGCCCTGTCATACCTAACTAAGCCTCTTGGTATTTATTTTTTCAGTGAGATTCTCTGATGCAAGAACCAAGCACTGGCTTTTAGAAAGTGTTCTCTCCCCCTTCCTCCCTGCCTATCTCTCCCCCTCCCTCCCTCCCTCCCTCCCTCTGTCTCTCCCTCCCTCCCTCCCTCCCTGCCTATCTCTCCCCTCCCTCCCTCCTTCCCTGCCTATCTCTCCCCCTCCCTCCCTCCCTCCTTCCCTGCCTATCTCTCTCCCTCCCTCCCTCCCTCCCTGCCTCTCTCCCTCCCTCCCTCCCTCCCTATCTCCTCCCTCCCTCCCTCCCTGCCTATCTCCTCCCTCCCTCCCTGCCTATCTCCTCCCTCCCTCCCTGCCTATCTCCTCCCTCCCTCCCTGCCTATCTCTCTCCCTCCCTGCCTCTCTCTCTCCCTCCCTCCCTGCCTCTCTCTCCCTCCCTCCCTGCCTCTCTCTCCCTCCCTCCCTGCCTCTCTCTCCCTCCCTCCCTGCCCCTCTCTCCCTCCCTCCCTGCCTCTCTCTCCCTCCCTCCCTGCCTCTCTCTCTCTCTCTCTCTGTCTGTCTCTCTCTCTATCTCTGTCTCTCTGTCTCACTCTAGATATACATCAAATTAGTGTGCAGAGGGAGGACCAAGAGTATCACAAAATTATCATTGTAACTTGTGGATAATAAATTTCAAAATCTGAGGTCTGTGCTCCAATATCTGACCTCCTTTTCTGAAAAACATGCACATGTGAAACCTGATTTACAACTGAGGAAGTTAAACCTTTCCTTTTGAAAGTAATGTATCAGTAGAAAATGGAAAGTTCCATGGAGATTGGTGATCTTCTAAATTATTTGCATAAGAATAGGTCACTCCCAGGCATTCTGTAACTCTCCAAAGTCAGAACAATCAAGAGGACACATCAGGCTTTAGAAAAACTCATTCCCTTGGAAGATAATCTCAATAGCATATGTGAATAGGAAGAGCATCAAAGTGTGACAGAGTGTCAGAGAAGAGTCACCTGCTACAAGCATGATCATATTACCTAGGAAAAAGTAAGTTCCAGGCTTCTGTGGATATTCATATAGATATTTTCCAGGGTTTTAGAAGTTCACGATTTCTCAGGGAGACCAAAGTGCCTGCATGACTGTGAGGGGTTCTTAGTCCTCTGGGTTCTGGTTTCAATTAGAAATAGCCTGGACCACATGGGTCAGTCCTGCCCAACAGACATTAGGACCCCTCCCGGGGCCCTTGCAGAGTGGGTCAGTTCTGTGGATGTGGGAAGGGGTGAGTGTTGGGTTTGGGAATCAAAGGCTGTGTGTTGAGCTTACAGTAGAAAATTTGGAGCTGCTTCTTGCTTAGAGATGACCCAATATCCAGAAGTAGCTATTGTGGGCAAATGGTGTTTCCCAAAAAAGGTATATTGAAGTCCTTCCTAACCCCTAGTGCCTGTGAGAGTGATCTTATTTGGAAACAGGATCTTTACAGATGTAATCAAGTTAACTGAGGTCATACTGGAGTGAAGCAAGCCCTAAATCCAATGACTGGTATTCTTATATGGAGAGAAAGATTTGGAGACAGATACATAGAAAGAACATTGTGAGACAATGCAGGCAGAGATGGGTGATGCTGCCATAAGCCAAGGACTGCTGGCAACCACCAGAAGTGGGAAGAAGTGAGGAAGGATTCGCTGCTGGAGCCTTCACAGGCAATCCGGCCCTGCTGACACCTTGATCTCAGACTTCTACACCCTCACACAGTGTGAGATGATAGATTTCTGTTGTTTTAAGCCACCCAATTGGTTGCACTTTGTTGCAGCAACTCTGGAAACTGATACAGTGGCTCAAACGGAGCCTCTAGGTATCTCTTCTATTGCAACCCAAAGACTGCACCAATGTGACCTGAAGGGGTAAGAGAACTAAAAAAATTTGCTTTTGGGGAGATAGATTTGGGTAAATTTCTCTATGCTGAGTTAGAGGAGTGACATATGGTGGTAGTAAAATCCAGATAACCCTTGACTGTGGTGATTTCAGAAAGAGAGAGCCAGGAGGCCTGGGAGCCAGCAGGCCAGCAGGGGTCCGCCCACTGGCTCCGAAACAGTGCACAGCGACATTAGAGCAAGGGCCCATCCTGTGCTTCTCTGGAGCCCCACGAAGCAGAGCCAGGTGGAGGGGCAGGAAACTGCACATTGGTGGGGTGGAGGGGCTTGGAAGGGCTGAGACAAGGTGTGTGCATGGGGATAAGGGCATTGCTGGTCCCCTGTGAAGCGTCAGTGACCAAGAGGCATCCTCTAGAAGAGGCAGACACTATATGGGAAGGGAGAAGCAGCATGAAGGAATGTGCTTTAGCACAAGGGGATCAGTTACAGATTCCTTGCCATGTTCCTGAGACCCACGGCCTGATATTTCACTCTGAAATAAGGCAGAACGAAGAATTCAAAAACAATCACTCTGGGAGAAAAAAGCGAATTCTCTTGATATCCTTGCTTTCTCCTGGCCTCGCTTCCTCTGATGTTCCCCTGGCCTCTTACAAATCAATCAGCCTACATCAAGGGTATCTATGACATGCTGCTGGGGGCGGCACAGAAGTGAACGTCACGGAGACGTCAGGGCATGCGCATATTCTTTGGCGCCCACCGTCTTATTTTCTTAACTTACTGGGAAATCTTTTTGTTAAAGTGCACGCATTAAATTTCTTCCTGGTCTCATCAGCCCCAGCCCAGGCAGTGGTGGTTCCCCATGAGGACAGCGTACCTTCTGAAGAAATGCACCCAGATCAGAATGGTATACGAGTCTGTCCTATTCTGGCTCTAGAAAAGAAATGTCACAATAAATAGGTGGGTGGGATGCTGCCCCACACTCCCCCAAACAACCGAAACAGCGGCGAGATCGAACTGAGGACAAGGTTATCATCATACACTCTTTTCTTTACACCGTTTGATGCCTACCTGCTTCTCAGGACAAACACCGTGAAAAGGAAACTGGCTGGACACTTACAGTTTTCAGTTTGTCACATATTACAATTAGTCACCATCAGCTAATTATATGGAAAAGGGGAAATCTGGCTGTTTTACCCAGAGTTGGTTTCAGGTGGGGGTGAAGCAGGCAGTGTGATACTGGCAGCCCCATGGTTGGTTTTGCTGATTTGGTTCCTCTTTCCTTGCCCCCTATTTAATACAAAATTCCTCTAACGAACTTCCTGTGTGACCACTGGTCAGCATTTCAATAGAATGGAAGCACGCAGCACGGCAAAGACCATAGTGTTAATATCCTTCGCATCTGCCATTCCCACCTCCTCCTTGCTTTTCCAGTCCTTTCCAACTCTGCATAGGATGAGGGGGAGAGGAGGGAGAGAGGAAGGGTGAGAGGGAAGCAAAGTCATTTCCAGCATTTTAAAGTCAGCTCTCCCAAAATGCTCTCTCTCTCCATACCCTTCTCCCTGTTGGGGCTCCAGAGCCTTCCCTCTACCTGAAACCACTCAGGCTGCAAGGAAGCCTCTTCAGGTCCCCCTCGTCCTTGATCATTACACCGGCTCTTGAGGATCCTTTCTTTCTCTAAATTTGGCAACAAACTTCTGTTGCAGCCTCTTCTCACTATTGGAATTCCCTTTCAGGGACTGGTCTCTGCAACTTATAGAGCTGCAGCAGTGTATCTGACCATTTAAGGCTCTACACTGTGCAAACAGAAAAGGAGCGCGCTCCTCTCTCAGACACATCATAAGAAACTTTATGCAAGCCCTGTGCATTTTCAGAACACAGGATTGACCCTCATGGACAGGAATTTGAGACTAGGTAGGAAAAGAGGGTCATGGGATGTGGGGGAGCTGCCTGAGGGCTGGTAGGAACTTGCCAGGGGTCCTCATATCCCTTCATGAGACAGTTGCCTCATTAACCTCTTTCAAGGGATGGCCCTGATTTCACGGTGAAAAGCAATGCATGTTTCTGCAGATACATCAATGCTCTAACACTAACATGTTCTCTGCTTTGACATCCTAGGAGATTTGCTTCCACTGAATCATAGCAAACTTTTTTTTTTTTTTTGCTTCTTGGCAGAATATTATTTGCAGATATCTGCAAATTTGGGAGGAAAGCTTTTTTTTCTAAATGGAACTATCCTGAAAACAAAGGGAAAAAAGGGCAAACACACACACACATGCTCACACACACACACACACAAACACACACACACACATGCTCACACACACACACACACACACACATGCTCACACACACAAACACACACACACACATGCTCACACACACAAACACACACACACACACACACATGCTCACACACACAAACACACACACACACTCACATACAAGCCTTCCCCCAAATCCTTCCAAGTCTTCATTCTATTTAAGCTGTTTATAAATAATATCGGGTGATAATCTCATTGAAAATGCATCTGTTTTCATGTTAATTTTTGTTAATTTGACATCCCTAGATGATATCACAAAAATACTTACTGTGTGTACATTTGTGTGTGTGTGGGTGTAATGTATGTTTGTGTGTGTGTGTATGTGTATGTGTGGGTGTAATGTACGTTTGTGTGTATGTGTCTGTGTGTGTGTAATGTACATTTGTGTGTGTGTAATGTACGTTTGTGTGTGTATGTGTGTGTGTGGGTGTGTAATGTATGTTTGTTTGTGTGTTTGTATGTGTGGATGTAATGTACGTTTGTGTGTATGTGTCTGTGTGTGTCTAATGTACATTTGTGTGTGTGTGTGTGTAGTGTACTTTTGTGTGTATGTGTGTGTGGGGGGGTGTAATGTATGTTTGTGTGTGTGTGTATGTGTAATTTTGTCCCCTTAGTCCGTGATGAATTAAAATAAGTAGTTACCTATAGATAACTAAAATTCTATACATGTCTTCGTGAAGTTTACCTTAGTTAACAGTTGCAATTAAGACATATCCCAGAAAAATGTTTACATTTTATTTTTAGTATGATCCTAATGTTGCTGAGTTCCCAGCAACACAATTACTTATTGCAGCCAACATCTACTGTGCTTACTATGACAGCAAGCTCTTTCCTACATTCTTATATCAACACCACACAAAGTAGGGCCCGCGATATTTCTGATTTGTGGATGGGGAAGCAGAGCCATAGACAGGTGCCAAGTCACCCAGGTCTCAGGGGTGGGGTGGGGTCTCCCCACAGACAGCCTGGCTCAGACACACTCTCCACTGCCACGGCACAAGGGACCCTTGTCATCATCCCACGGAGTTTGCCTTGGCATTGCTTCTTCGGTGCTTAGAGAATGTCAGTGAAGAAGCAATCTCAACAAACTTTGTGGTTTTGTTATCCTCAGAAATGACCAATCTTCATGAAGTTGTTGTCGTGCAAGCCTGGGCTTCTATTAAAATAAAAAAGCGTGCTTTGCACCTAAGGCAGTCGCGGAATAAAAGCAAGCAGCAAATTGATGTTCTCATTTAAAAGTCTTTCCTGGCCTGTGAGTGCCCTGGGCCTACAAAGGTAAAAGAAGCCTGACGTCAAAGGAACTGGGCATTCTGGAGGTTCCTGGGCAGACCTGAGACTCCAGAGAAAGTAGGAAGAGAAGGCAGATTTTCAGGAAAGGTTGAAGCCAGTGTCAGTTAATGATGGCAGTGTTCGTTTCTGTTTGTATACCTTTAGCAGCCTAAAAATGGGGCTTCGGACACAATACCTTTCCTAAATGAAACCAATGCCTGCTTCGTTACAGGCACATGGTACGTACTGTGGGTGACATCCAGCCCCCTTCAGTTTTCCAGAGTCTTTCCTGGGGTCTTGCTTGGCTCAGGGCCACTGGGACACAACCCACCTGATGACACCAGGGTGTGTCAAGCCTGTGGTCAAGGTTCACACGTCTGTGTGTGCCACAACCACTGCAGAGGGGAAAGCTTTCATCCGCACAACATCCCGCCCTCAGCAGAGACTTGGAAAACCAGGAACCCGATAGTCCTTAGTCAGGAAGACGGAAAGGCTCCCCAACAGGCAAGGCCACTCCATGTTACTACACAGTACCATACCTACTGGCATGGTTTCTCCCTGTGCCCCATTGCTAACATTTCTCCTTCGAGTTGGCATGCCAAGTAAAGCACAGTGAAAAATGTCCGAGTTCCGCGTTGCTCTTAGCAACATCTATGAGTCTGAGCTTCTAACCTCCTTGCCTATAGAACAGTGCCTGAAGGAAGAACTGGCAGTGTTCATTGGCATCGGAATTGCCCGCGATTTTTCCCTTTTCAGCAATTATTTAAGTGCTCCAAAAGCATTGTTTCTTTACTGTTTTCAAGGCAAGATAGAAGGAGAGGTTAATCTTGTGTAGAATTTCCTCTGCTTTCAAGTTCCAGGTTGGGGGTGTAAAGAGGTTTGACAGAGAAGAACCGCAGCTGCCCAGGCCTGACTGCAGGAGAAAGCAAAGTGGCTGGGGACGGGGTGTGGAGAGCAGGTGGTCTCCCCTCTCCTCCATCAGGGTCAGGAATGTGTCTCTCCTTTACTGGACCCATTGCCCTCCCTGGATGGCTGTACCGTTTAGGGAGGCCTGTGCTGACAATACAGGTGCAGTTCGAAAGAAATTCCATTAAAGTGGGCAGTGGGGAGAAAAGGGGAATTCTGTCATGAAACATAAAACCTAAAATACTGTCTGGTCAAAACCTAGACAGCCTATATAAGGCCCATGAGAGCTCGGAGACCCTGCTTCTGACGCCTGGGTGGGGAGCTGAGGGGTGGGGCCGTGAACAGGGTCTCAGCCCGGCCAGGAAGAAGGTGGCTGCCTCTGCAGGGACGGGCACTGCAGCGTGGGGGGCAGACGTGATGAAGGCAAGGACTTTCCCACTGACCGTGCAAAATCTTCACGAAGTCAGGGTCTGTCCACGATCTAAAGATCGAGACCTCATGTTGAGTTCTGAGGTAAAATGGGAAAACAATTTTAACAGTACAGTGAAGTTTCCTGCCAATAAGCAAACGCTTCCGCTCTCCGCTCAGCTACAGAAACATCTGGGAGCTCCAGGGAGGAGGCAGAGGAGCACAGGCGCTCCCAGTGTGGGCCGCGCTCAGGAGTCCCTGCACAATGGCAGCGACACTGCTTCGTGAAATGGACACCCTACGGGATGGAAAACAGGGAGAGGGAAGCCACGGCATTCAGAAGCAATAATCACAGAACGTTTCTGTGCTTTCCACGGCTCCCTCAACATCTGCCTCCACTTCCAAGTCAATCGAGGCAGCCTGTTTATGTGGAGCTTTGAGATGACACATAAACTTTGCTGACCCTAGAACGACAGCCTTTCCACATTTAAAGCAATTTTCGTGTCAATGATTGTGCCGTTAACCTTCCAGGGTCATTCCAATATTTTCTGAGAAATTGGCTGCTTTTGGGATTTTCTTAGAATGCCATGTGTTTCATTTTTGTGCAGAGCAGACGACAGGCGAGGCATTCCAACACGACTTCAGTCGAGTTAACTAATTCCTGTCAAGGGAAGTGAAGGGTTGGGATTCAGAGAGCCCGTAAAGCCCAGAGATTTTCCTTTTTCCAAAACAGAAAAAACAAAACATGCTGTGTGGTTTTGCAACCGGGCAAGTTTCGAAATATTTTGAAGCTTTCTGCTTTGCCAAGTATTTCATAAAAAAACTATTTTCTTTTTGTTTCATGCCAAAAAATGTCACCCCCAAATATTTTTTCCCATATCTGGTCACATGTCCAGGATTTTTTCTTTCCTAAGAATAAATAATTTTTCTGGGTTATAAAAATGCCACTTGCTCTATCAGATTAAACATATCTTTATATAGAAAAAGCATCTGAAACATTCCCCAAGTGGGTCTAAGAGAGGAGTC